ACACACACACACACACACACACACACACACACACACACACACACACAACACTCCCTGTGACTGTTTGCTCTCTCATAACACCACAATAAAGGTGATCTCAAAACAAACATCAGTACATCTGCCTACGGGCATGTCTATAATACGATTACTAACAGTTTTTAAATTTAGAATGATACAATAGGAACAGTGAAAACTACAAAAACAACCCATTTTTAATATGATCCCAATTTAATGAGTGATACAGAAACAAAACTGTTTTTTTTTCCATATTACAAAAAAGCAACCCCAGGTGCTGTACCAACACCAGGAGCATGGCAACTGTGAAAACAGAATAAATGTGTTTTCATAGTTCAGAACACCAAAGACGCATACATCATCATCTCTACGATAATAACAGTCTCTATGAGGGCCACTTGTGACCATGAGGCCAAATCTCAAATGACACCATTCCCCATATAGAGTCCTACTTTTAGCCTGAGACCCACATACAGAGCTGTGGTTGTGGGCAGAAAGTAGAGCACCATCCAGAGGAAGATGGCATGGTTTGAGAGACCTTACAGGGAGAGCACTCATTTTTTCTTCTTCTCATCTTTCTTGGCACCGTCAGCTTTTTCCTTCTCCTTCTCCTTGTCATCTTTTTTCTCTTTGTCGTCTTTCTTCTCTTTCTTGCCTTCTTCCTTCTCCTGTCCTTCCTTTTTTTCTGCGTCTCGGTTGGAAATCTTGTTGTTGATCAGGTTGTGAAGAGCCACCACGGAGCGTATGAGCGAGGCCAGGTAGACCACCAGCATCTGGTCGTTGGTCTTAAGGTAGAAGGCTTTTGTGAACTCCTGCAAAGACACAAACATAATGTCAGGAACACAAACCCTTGTCTAAAGCAACACAACAACCCACATCGTGTCCATATCAAAATGAAGAAGGATCTGGTAGCTATAGAATAATTGAAATTAGAGGCATACTAACTTCTGTTGTGCAATTTTAGACAGCGATGCTGAAACCATTTGACCAAAAAGTGTTAAATATGAAAAGAAACCACAAGATGATCAAATGCACAACTGTCGGTTGAGTATTTTAGCAATCGACTCAAGAAAACTACGAAAAAAACCAATATAATTGAAGAGTTGAAAGTTCTTCACAAAGTCTGATTTTGAAAACAAATAAAATACTGCCACCAGTAGACAAATGTCTTTGTTGGAAACATCATGATGGTCAACATTTGAGCACAAATGTGCTGCAGCAGTGTGTGTTTTACTAAATGAGACTCACTTTGCCCTCTAGTGGATCAAATGAGAAGCTGCTGCTCAGGTAGAGATAAAAGTTCAAAAAGATGTAGATGTGTTTTCAGGGAATTTATTTTCATCTCCACGTCTCTTTGGTCCACTGAATAAATTCAAAGTTGTGCGACAGTTGTAATTGTACAGTATTCATGAAGAGACAAGTGTGTGTCATTCATTCATTCATATACACACACACACACACACACACACACACACATATATACACATAAACACACATATACAAACACATACATACACATAAACACACACACACACACACACCTGCTGGTCATATAATTAGAATATCATCAAAAAGTTGATTTATTTCACTAATTCCATTCAAAAAGTGAAACTTGTCTATTATATTCATTCATTCATTACACACAGACTGATATATTTCAAATGTTTATTTCTTTTAATTTTGATGATTATAACTGACAACTAAGGAAAATCCCAAATTCAGTATCTCAGAAAATTAGAATATTGCTTAAGACCAATACAAAGAAAGGATTTTTAGAAATCTTGGCCAACTGAAAAGTATGAACATGAAAAGTATGAGCATGTACAGCACTCAATACTTAGTTGGGGCTCCTTTTGCCTGAATTACTGCAGCAATGCGGCGTGGCATGGAGTCGATCAGTCTGTGGCACTGCTCAGGTGTTATGAGAGCCCAGGTTGCTCTGATAGTGGCCTTCAGCTCTTCTGCATTGTTGGGTCTGGCATTTCGCATCATCCTCTTCACAATACCCCATAGATTTTCTATGGGGTTAAGGTCAGGCGAGTTTGCTGGCCCATTAAGAACAGGGATACCATGGTCCTTAAACCAGGTACTGGTTGCTTTGGCACTGTGTGCAGGTGCCAAGTCCTGTTGGGAAATGAAATCTGCATCTCCATAAAGTTGGTCAGCAGCAGAAAGCATGAAGTGCTCTAAAACTTCCTGGTATACGGCTGCGTTGACCTTGGACCTCAGAAAACACAGTGGACCAACACCAGCAGATGACATGGCACCCCAAACCATCACTGACTGTGGAAACTTTACACTGGACCTCAAGCAATGTGGATTGTGTGTCTCTCCTCCCTTCCTCCAGACTCTGGGACCCTGATTTCCAAAGGAAATGCAAAATGTACTTTCATCAGAGAACATAACTTTGGACCACTCAGCAGCAGTCCAGTCCTTTTTGTCTTTAGCCCAGGCGAGACGCTTCTGACGCCGTCTGTTGTTCAAGAGTGGCTTGACACAAGGAATGCGACAGCTGAAACCCATGTCTTGCATACGTCTGTGCGTAGTGGTTCTTGAAGCACTGACTCCAGCTGCAGTCCACTCTTTCTGAATCTCCCCCACATTTTTGAATCGGTTTTGTTTCACAATCCTCTCCAGAGTGCGGTTATCCCTATTGCTTGTACACTTTTTTCTACCACATCTTTTCCTTCCCTTCACCTCTCTATTATTGTGCTTGGACACAGAGCTCTGTGAACAGCCAGCCTCTTTTGCAATGACCTTTTGTGTGTTGCCCTCCTTGTGCAAGGTGTCAATGGTTGTCTTTTGGACACCTGTCAAGTCAGCAGTCTTCCCCATGATTGTGTAGCCTACAGAACTAGACTGAGAGACCATTTAAAGGCCTTTGCAGGTGTTTTGAGTTAATTAGCTGATTAGAGTGTGGCACCAGGTGTCTTCAATATTGAACCTTTTCACAATATTCTAATTTTCTGAGATACTGAATTTGGGATTTTCCTTAGTTGTCAGTTATAATCATCAAAATTAAAAGAAATAAACATTTGAAATATATCAGTCTGTGTGTAATGAATGAAAATAATAGACAAGTTTCACTTTTTGAATGGAATTAGTGAAATTAATCAACTTTTTGATGATATTCTAATTATATGACCAGCACCTGTATGTATGCATGCATACATACATACATACATACATACATACATACATACACACATATATATATATATACACATACATATACACACACACGCACGCACGCATACATATACACATACATATATTAAACACCCCTCAAACACAAAACAACTTACCAGTAGATTTACATCTGGCAGCAAGTTGAAGACATCCTGCAGCTGGTAGATAATCTGGTGGTTGATGGGAAGTTTTCCTGCCGTCACTCTCTCGAGGTAAGAGCGGATCTCCAACAGCTTGGAGTTGAGTCCCTTCAGGCCGTGAACCTGATTTGTGATGCGTTGCGACAGAGTGCCCACCGTGGTGTCCTTGATATCTCTGGATATGATGGGCACGGGCATGAATGTCTTGACATGTTTTGCAAGGTGTTTACATTTGTTGATAATTTTAGTCAGTTCATAATGAAATAGCAGTAGAGTTGTATCTTTTATACTCTGTATTGTGATCACAATTATTTACTGCTGTGACCAAAATGGCTATTACACGATTACCAGTGCAGCAAAGGGAGAGAACCAAAGGTTTGTTTTATACCTGAGCAGGTGCTCCACACCCACTTCTTCCGCTTCCTCCGCTCCAATCTCACTGGTGACGTGTTCAAACGTCTTGGATGTTGGTGTACCATCCTAGAAATAGTAAATCACAACAATGAAAAAAAATCTAATTCTACTTTAAACCAAAGTGTGTTTTCCACTAAAAACCCTCAAAAGAAAAGTGTCAGTAGTGTTTGAAACCAAAAGATGTAAAAGGATGACAACACTGCAGTAAAGACAACTTTCACTGGGAAGACTTTCTAACAAATCAGACCAAAGGGGAGAGAGAGACTAAAAAATAAACTGCAGCTCTCTAAATTATTATTATTATTATTATTATGTAATTTAATAATTCAATGCTCAGCCCCAACACTTTTAATTCAGTGCAATCTATGATTCACTCACGTCATGGATTTCCTCCACAGAGATGTATGCTTCCGTGGGGAGGCCGAGATCTTTGGGCTTCACATCTATAATGACTAACACCTGGTAGGATAAAACACAAATATATGAGCAATGATGACATCTGAATGAATACAAGTACATCAAGGTTATGTAACAACACATCCACATTAAGCAGAGGAGAAAAGTTTAGCAGTTACATACCGAATTGGTACAGTACTGCTTGATGAGCTCATTGATGGCAATGTCATTCTTATGTAACTTGGGTCCTGTGTGGTACCATCCGACTATTCTCTCTCTGGCTGAAAAACAGGGAAAGAAAATCATTCACAAGTATAAACTCAGGGCAACACCATCACATAAAACACAAGTGAATCACATAGATGTAGGCAGTGTATTACCATTAACTTTCTTGAACATGCCATACATGTTCTCCAAGTAGTCATGATCCAGGAACCACACTGAGTCGTCCCGGTCATCTTCGTCAAATGGTACTAAAGGAACATCGACAATGAATTTAAGAATTTACAGAAATTGACCGTGGCAAACTTACATTTCATTTCAAACAGTGCTGTAGCGGGTAAAGCAGGATTCCACAGTAAAAAAATGATGTCTAATGCATATTGAAATATCTTAAAAACGGTGATTTTAGACACGATCTGCTGACTATGACAAATTGTGTTATATTTCTGTGGTTTTGGGGGGAGATTTCTATGGTCTTACAAATGCTGATGATGTCTTCTATGTTATTTTAGTGTAGGATTGAAGAATACACATTTATCACAGAAAGTCAACATCACAAACTGGGGTACATTAAGTTTGAACGATTGGGGTATTTAACAGGTGGGGAGGGTAAAATGAACGATACTGTTGAGTTGCATTAGAAGAAGTGATGGATCCAGTCTTTGACCACTCATTCTATTTTCCTTTCTTTTACTGTTCCTTACTGAAGTCGTTTCTCTCATAATGCTGTCCTCCTGTCACTCACCTGCAAAACTATTTGAGACGTCAAGAACTTTTTTGTGCCATGATCCCAGAAGGACACCGACCACTCGTTTCTGGTTGCCCACCTTTCCTATCCTGTAGATTGAATCGTCAAAATGAACAGATAATCTGGTTAGAGCCGCATTGTTTTGTCCATAGAATTACATTTTACATTGATTTTCTATTTCTATGGTGTTTTCAAATGTGAACGCCTCGACTCATACACACAGGCTGAGTCGTTAGCTAGGTTGCTTGAGTAAGCTAATGCCCAAACCTTCATGTCATCCATCGCTAATGAAATAAATAACAAGATTATATCATCAGAGTGTGACGTTCCGTAACAGCACGCTCAACTACTAACATTAAGCAATGGTGACTACCAGTATTGATTCATTTAACAGTTAAACTCATTGTTTTCTGACAATAGGTGACGAACTACACTGACTTCACTGAGCTAACTTAACGTCCAACTAGCTTGTCTGCATTCACTCTCAATGGGGCTCTGACTCAGCAGGGCTAGCATTAGCTTAGCTTAGCAGCTACATTACGCTTCTAGACATTTTAAACATTCAACCTGTGTAAAGAACAAACACGAGTACTGAACTCACTGACCTGTTAAAGTGATCAACCACGCTGAGCAACACCAGCGGGTGAACGACCACATTTTGTACCGCTAACTCCGGCATTTTCTCAGTGAAGACAAACAGCTCACAGCCCTCAACACAATGACGGCTACGCTACAATTCCGGTTGCGTCTGACGTCATTTCCGTTTCTCTAGGCAACAGAGAGACGCGGAGAAAAACGGCACGAGAGTTGTTCTCTTTTCTCAGACGTTCACAGACAAAATGGCAGAGACCGAGCACGTAAGTTCACTGGGTTTGGTTTTGGAAGCGTTTTCTTAAATTTGTATTCCAATATGTCACTTCATGATAAACTTATTATTGTTTGTATCAACGTTAGATAACGGAAAACACCGAAATTGCAATTATTTTTGCTGTAACGTAACTTAAGCTAAATGACCGTATTGGCAGTAACCTGTCTAACGTTAGCTATTAGCTTTCTAACTTAAATCAAATTAAACATCCTAGTTGTTGCTTATTAACTGCTGTTTAATCAACTGTCGCTGCCAAACGTAGGTCTACATTTCATAAGTGGTTGTTTTTATTAAATATCTTCCAATAATTTCATTCGGTCCTGCAGGCTGGAGTTGAGGAAACACTGAAGAGGATCGAAGGTCAAAAAGGTGTGATTGGAACAATAGTTGTCAATGCAGAAGGTAAGACAACACGCTTATAGTCTACATCTCCAGGACAACTAGCTAGCCTATAACATGTTTACAAAACTGCATGTATGTAAAGGTTTGATCTTTTCAGGCATTCCCATCAGAACCACTTTAGATAACTCCACCACGATTCAGTACGCAAAACTGTTTCGCCTCCTCTCCATGAAGGCGAGGAGCACAGTGAGGGATATTGACCCTCAGAATGACCTCACCTTTCTCCGCATCCGCTCCAAGAAACACGAGATCTTGGTTGCACCAGGTGAGTGTGTAGTAGTTACCTTTTTACTGTTGACAACAGTTGTAACTTAGAAGAGGCTGTACTGTTTTCCTACATTTGAATTCCCCTTCTTCTCTTCTTTTATCTGTTTCTGCAGAAAATGATTTTCTGCTGATCGTCATCCAGAACCCATGTGAATAGCTTCTGGACATTTCCATGAGAGTCAGCCTTTGTTTTGTCACATGATGGTGCTTTATCCAGGCAAAATGTCGTTTTACACTGTGTTATGTTACATTACTGCATAATCCCTATTTTCCTACTTGGAAGTCGCCTAAATCTACCTGATGCATTGTTTTACCTTATGTAGTTTTAATTCCTTCATTGTATTTTCTGTGTTTATATTGAATATGTCTGTGAAATGAAGCTGCCGGTGATTGTACAATACTTACTAGATCATCCCTGTTCATTCTGATGGGTGACAAATGTAATGAGAACCCTGAATAAATAAGAGGAGAAACAGAACCTTTATTTGCAAAACTGTCAAGGAGTAAAAGATACAATGTTTTCCTGTGTTATGGAAGTATAAGGTAGCATGAAATGCAAAAACTCAAGTTTAGTGGAAGCGCCTTAAAATTGTCCTTAAGTACAGTACTTGAGTAACTGTAATAACCCTCCATCACTGCTTTTGTTCTACGTTGAAACATTTATATCTGGATGAGCGTGGTCTTTTCCAGGATGACAACGTTCCCATTCACATGACACTGAGTGGTCACTTAATGATTTGATGTGTATGAAAACATTGTGAATCATTTGCTATAGCCTTCACATATACTTGATCTCAACCCAATTCAACACCCATTTGGGATTTTGGAGCAATTCTTGAACCAAAGATGACAAGCATGGCATTTTTCTTTCTAGAAAAACTCCTCAGAGTAGCTGTTAATTCAGGAAACATGGAACTGATATGAAATGAGAGTGAAATGTGTCATAAGTGAAAACTCTCTCCCTGGATAAATGAAAATGACCAATAAGACATTTTACAAATATTTTAATGTAAATTTCCATCAGAATGTACAGCAATATATGTTAATAAATAATTCATCACAATTATACAGCCCAAATAATACATTACATGACAACTGATTGAAACAAATATGCAGGATTTCACAGCAAGTTTGAGAAGACTGAACAGGTGACGCAGGAGAGTCTGATTTTGGGAGATTGCTACGAGTTTGTGCTTTTAGGAACAGGCTCCTGGGACTTTAACATTCAGAGGGAAAGGGGCAGAAGTTATGAATTTGTGACATTTGTTTTATCTGGCTTGAACAAAAACATCTCATCAAAACAGAAAGAGAGGAGGCGGTGTATTTTCTGTTATCCACAGAGGGATAGTTTATGTCACCCATAAACAATTATAGATTTGTCTCAAGTACTCTACCAGTATCAAGTGAAAATATATCGTTTATCAGTTTTGACAGTCCTCAAATGGAACTGAATAATAATTTGGCTTCTTCATTTCCTTGACAAAATCATTTAACTTAGTTGTTCTATAATAACTTAAGAATAAATCACCTTCAGATCGATGTGAACCATGGTAAGGTTGGACAATATGTCTAAAAGTACTGTTGTTTCGCTCAAGTGATGCCAATTATTAAGAACTTGTGTCGAATGTTGCAAAAGGCTTAAAAATATCACAACTTTTATTCTATTCAAGTTTCATCAACATTTCTAGTCGTGTGGAGGGACAAAGACTCTGGGATAAACCATCTGAGCAATCGTCACGATAACTTGATAACGAGTGACAAAAACTGACGTTTGCCATGTTGTCTTCCATCCCCAGTGCATCTTAGTCAACACCCCAAACATTTTGACATCACATGACATTTTTCAAATACAACTGTCCTAACATCCTTCATTTTCTAAACATTTTTTATTCTGACCAGCAGCAGTTCAAACAAAACATATGGCTTCCCACAAGAGATGGTTAAAACAATAAAACATACAAAATTCTTCGTCTATCACAAGTAACATTACCAATGAAAATTTCATTAAACCTCAAAAAACTTCATTGATACCATTTGCCATTATATAGATAATATCTTTTAGATGTTTCCTATCCTCTGCAGAAGCTTTACAAGCACACAAACTGCTTCATCTGTCGGATTCAGTGCTAAGTAGACACGACAACATTACACCACACAGAGGACGCTCACGTGTTTCTGTCCAAGTTTAAGGCCTGAGGTGTGCTTTGATTCCTTGACTCAATTTCCATTCTTTGAGTAAGACCAAGTGACCACTGCATGCTTACTCTCTTCTTATTGCTGTCCAGAGAGGCTACAGATTTGTGCCAAGAGACACATCTCATTAGTGTGAATCAATAAAGTTTATGCAAAAAAAAATTAACATGACATGAGTTAAATGAGTAAAGCTAACTCGGGGACTAGTTGGACTGGTTAGCGTGAGGACAAAGATGCTGTTTCACCTACACAGTGTTATCAACCGACAATAACAATCCATAGGCAGAATGACGGAGACACGAATGCCCAGACCACATGGTCACCATGGTTTACGATTACCGTGGCAAACAGGGCAGGTAGTCAGTTGAATCTGGAACCAGACAGGCTCCCTCAAGTACTTCAAGTGCAGAGTGACCTGGCTCCAGTCTGTCTTGTTCTTGTTACTGTTCCTTCGCTGTCACAGGCATATCCGTCAGGGAGTTGGTGTCAGAGGTCACCTCGGCGTGTGCCCGTTGACTTGCCCCCTGCCCCAGTGAATGTTAGGTAGTGTCAAACACCTCCTGAAGTGCTCAAGCTGGGCCTGAAGTCTCTCCCTCTCCTCTCTCACTTTCTGCCTTTGACTCACCAGCTCCTGACAAATGAAGGACAGACACAACTCTCATTACAGAACCAAGACTGTCTGCATCACTCACAAACAGCAAGTACTGATGGAAGATGGGAACGCCAACATTAAAAGATGAAAGTACACAAATCTGCATGCAGACATGTTCTCCGATACCTACCCCCATAGTGAGAGAAAGCTGCTCTGCGGTTCTGGTCAGATTGTAGTTCTGTGCTTCAACTCTTTTACACTGACTGTGAAGAACCTGCCTCTCTATACTCCATTCTGCACAGAGAGAAACCACAAATGAGGGGAAATTATATCCATTCTAATACCTCTTTCACATAAATGACCTGAGTGTATAATGTAGTCCTTTGATAGGAAAATACATACATCAAACTGACTTGGCATTGACTCACCATCCACATACTCCTGGTAGGCCTCAAAGATAGCTTCAATACCCTGCCACTTCCTTGGAGCTTCTTCCATCTCCCCCTCGTCGTCTTCCTCCTCCTGACCAAACTCTTCCTCGTCCTCATCAGACAGGTTTTCCTGTGGTCCTGGAGTGTCCCTGCTGGCTACAAGGGAATGGAAGTGATAGCCGTTGACGTGTGCATGCTGAGGGGCATGGATGAGAGTTGAATTTTTCAGTTGAGAGACGTCGTGAGGCAACGAGCGGTCGGCCTTCATGCCGGCCTCAGGGACACAATTTGAGACTCCTTAGAAGAAATGAGTGAGACAGAAAGGCAAAGTCAGTCTTTGTAGCCAAGTTTAGTACCTCCTGAAGAGCCAATGTGGTTACTACTAACATACGTTTTAACTTTGAGGATGTTACACATAAACACCACTAGGTGGCAGAATATTGTCATTTTAAAATTCACCATCAAGCCTAATGGTCATGCACCTTTGGGAGCGTGAGGCTCACCTTTGTTCTGCAGTGTGTTGTGTGTGGACTGCAGCACGGCCTGGTGGAAGTGCTGAGCAAAGGCCTCAGGTGTGAACCTCTCCCAGGGCCGATTCCGTCCATTCTGCAGTGAATCGGGCTCCTTTTTCTGAGAAGAAGCAAGAACGCCATTCTGGAGGCCCTGGAGCTTCCTGTTTGGCTGAGCCTCCATAGATTCAGCCTTTTCATGACGGGGGTTCAAGGGTGGAGGATTGCGGGCCATGTGGGTGTCCATGGAGGGTTTGAACGTGTCGTTATCGGGGAGACGTTTGGGTTTCTGTAAGTAGGGAGGGGAGGGGCTGGGAGAGTCTGGGTACTGATGTCCGTTTGATTGACTCGGCAGAGGGGCTGATGAGGAGTCACCTAAAAACAAATTTGTAAAGGTCCTTAGAAAGAGTTTTTGCTGCTTTAATTATGCATATAAGTGTGTGTGTGTGTGTGTGTGTGTGTGTGTGTGTGTGTATATTTGCTGAAGTGTCTGTGTGTCTCACCAGTTAAGTGAGCAGGAGGACTGCTACACGGAGGTAAAGGATTATATCTGAGCGTGTCTAAAGTCACAGTCTTCCTCTGAATGGCCCTCAGCAGCTCCTCTGTCCTTTCCTTATCTACAGAGAAAAAGACAGAATGAGAACACCTGTCATTCATATTTGAAAATAGGGCTTAAAATATTGACTGGCACAAGGAACTGACGGAAAAGGGTCAACAAATGGATGACTTGAGCATACAACACCATCATAGACAGACTATGGCCACACATATTTAAAGAAGCCTCATCCTTTTCTGTTTTTCTACCACATTTCACCTGAAAACATCAAGGAGGAGCAGATTGGTTTGTACAGATTTTCACCCAGATGTTATGTCTGTAATCATCCAAAAGCTGGTTTCTGTAGTTTACAGTAAACTATGTCTTCTTGCACGTTTAAACAACAGAGTCTGCCCTGCAGTATTTTACCTCATAAAGTATATATACTGTCTCTCTAAATATTTAATGTTGCCCCTTTCTATGCACATATCTATGTTTTTACATTCAAATGTATTAGTTTAACAACTAAATTCATACATTTTTTTGCAGAAACTATGTTTTTACAGAATGTGTATTAAAATCAACCCTGGCTGGAGAAAGCAGGAGATCCTGCCACAACCTCCTCCCAAGATGCTTCCTAACTTTCTTTTCCTCTCACTCCTCCCACAGCCTCGGTAAATAACAACATTGAGTTAAAACTAAGTGTGGTGTTTTTCCCCGGGGAATAACACTTCCACTGTTAAGAGAGCAGAGTAACACGAAGGATGTTGTTACCTCTCCTCTGCTGTGGGCTGACATGGGAGAGGTTGAACATAAGGAGGAAGTCTTTTTTCTCATGCAGTTCCGGAGTGCTGTCCATCTGCTCGGCAGAGTACGGGGTAGTTAAGGGAGTTGAAGGTGTTGAAGGTGAAGCGGCCTTTCTCTTGCCCCGCGCGGCCGGCGGAGAGAGGCTGCGCTCTCTCATCATCCTCCTCCTCTTTCTCCTTTTTCGCACCAGAAGCTCATCGCGATGGGCCAGCGTGGTCAGACCACACACACGCAGGAAATCCACTTTCTTTGGAGAGAGACATTTGGTCAGGTGAGTATCACTCTAACAAACATTTTCAAACCTTGTATGTATATGTGAAGTCTGTCGTGTTTATGCACCTCAGAGGATGTGTCCAGTTTGAGCGGGGGCTGTTCTGTCACTCTCCTCAAATGGGCTTTCACCTCCTCCTCGTCACTCTCATCATACGACTCGTCGAGTTCATAGTAATAACCTGGTGAGAGGAGAGCAAGAGAGAAGTTTTCTTTCTCCATAAAGAACTTTTAGCAGTATGTAGTCATTTTTGCTGCCTACCACACCCCGCCCTGCCCATGAATCCCTACTCTTTCCACCTCTGTGCCTCTTTATGCTTCATCATTCTGCTCACCTCCCTCTCTGGCCTCCCTCCTCCTCTTCTCCTCCAGGTCCAGTTTACTGAGCAGCCGACGGTGCTGCTGGAGAACTTCGTCATACACCAGTATGTTGTCGGGCGGCTGACTCTGTCGCTCCCTTACCGGAGATGGAGAAGCTGCCTGACACCGTCCCACCAGGTCAGTACCGATACCGGGAATAGACGGAGGCACAACGGATCTCTGGTGGAGGTTATTGATGTGATGGCGGTGATAGAGGCTCTGGATGGCTCTGTCCTGGTCTGCCTTGTTCCAGGAACCTGCTTCTTGTAAACTAGCTCCCCTCAGTGAGGTGTACCTCTCTGTGCCTTCCGCCCTCCTCCTGCCTCCTTCTTCCTGCTTCTCCCCCCAGCTCACCGTGGGCCTGTCGGCTCTGGTCAGTCCTGGAGGCGGCCGACTTGGTGGTGTCGGAGGGTTAAGTTTTCTGCGGGAGTCGGAGGGGGTGTCGACAAGGGAGGCTGGGTTCCACAGTGTGGTCAAAGGGGCAGGAGGATGATGGGGACCTTTAGGGGAGATAAGGGGAGGTGGAGCGCCGAGGCAGGGAGGTACATCTTTGCTTCCTGGGTTGTGATGGACTGAATGGGTTCTGTTTCGGAAAATAAAAATAAAGTACCATTTAGTTTCAAGGTCTCACAACACTGACAAACATTGCAGAAGTATAACATAATTTTCTAAAACTAATTAATTGTCCATTTTCACCTGTGACTGTCTCTCCTTAGCTCCACCCCTTTCCCAGGTGACCTGAGGCCCATCTCCAGCGGACCCTCCCTCTCCTGCCCTTGCCCCCGTTGCCGTGTTAACCACGCTGCCTCACTGGCCCTCTGAGTCATCATGGCAGCTGCCAGAGCTCCATGGATCCCCCCAGCAGCAGCGTGATGCTTCCCCAAGTGAGAAGGCACCAGGCTGGGCACAGGGTGTGGGATAGAGCCCCTGGAGGGGTGAAGGCCAGGCTGCAGGGACAGAGGTTTTGGTGCTGGGAAACCTGGGTGCTCAGAGTCCTTGGTTTTATCTGGAGAAAGAGAGGAGTTTGGAAACTATTCATTTATTTTCAGACGCGGACAGCACTATGTGTGTGTCGACATTTGGATGAGATTTATTCAGACATCATTCAGCAGTTTTCTGACAAGGGCGGACAGGATGATCACTGTAACAAACTTAACTTAAAGTTAAAATGTGCAGGCAGTGTTGTTTAGGTGGTTTATACAATTTCAATACATGCACAGTTTATATGCTTATTGGTAATCTATAATAAAAACCCAACAGAGTGGACTGTGCTATCTTTCAGGTGTAAATGTAGAGAGAGGAAAGAACTCAGACTAAAAGTTTTAACTGACCCAACGGTCTGCAATATGTATGAAACATCAAACAGAACAACAACAGTTTAAGGATTTTGAAATCATTGCAGCTTTACCAGTTGGATGGCAAGAAATATCAATATTTAAAGAAGGGGGCACTATGATCGGGTATGTAGTAAAATGAATCTGACATAGTTCATCGCCCGGAGCTTTCACAACTGTAGTTCGATCATTTGGTCTAGACCAATAAATAAATGATACATTGTTGCTCTTTGGTTCTGGTCCGGTGTTGCTGTTCATACTGACTTTTTACAAACAAACCCAGATGAGTGAACATAAAGTTATCCAGACTGAAAGGTAACTCATTGATTGGACTGTTTTGGCGATTGTCATCCTGCATCATCAGGAAATCATCAGGAAATCAAAAGAAGCTTGAGATGTTTATGCAGTATTTTATTGTTTCTAATGCGTATATTTATGCTCATTTTTGTCTTATAACAAATCAATTGCATGTTATGAATAACGACAGGTAGAGACAGGACTGTGCAAAAGTCCCTTTGCGCTCCCAGGTGACTGGTGCATTAGGCGTCTTGTACAGTAATGATTCAGGGCTTATTACAGCGGGATCGGTGTCACACACTTTTTAGTGGACTTAATGAACTGACAAAGTAACAAGTTGGATACAAGCACGGCAGTTTTAACAGTTTTGGATCTTTTAATCAGAACCATGGTTCAATTGACAGCTTGCCCACCAGCCCAAACGAACCGTACTAACCGGGGAAGCAGACCGGAGTTTGTTTGAACCGAACCAAAAGGTTAGGTGTGAGAGCACCCTCAAAAAGTTTCAGTGTGCCGCTGAGCCACACCAAGTGCATTTACTGTTACCGTAGGGCTGACTGCTGTGCTGTGAACAATAGGTCTTGTTTTTATCCATTTACAGTAGAGTGAATGTCAATGTGCTACAGAGAAAAGCACCCAAAGAAAACAAATGGAGTAAACTTCACACACTGACCCACTACGATAAAGGTCACGGGGTCACTGAAGGCAGAGGTGTTGAACCTTTAAGAGACAGGACCGCGTTCGGCAAATTTCACATCTGTCTGCCTTAGTTTGAGATTTTAAGATATCTTGTGTGCAGAGTTGACATTTTGGCCTAAAGGGTGACACCAGCTCTGGAAAGCAGATTTGAAGTTACATTTAAATTTGCCCAAAAGATTGTGATATTTCTTGTATACAAATGGAATTTCTGGCATAATGGCTGTGCTGGAGGACAGGACAGGGCGTCACCATAATCATAAGTAATTGTCCTTTTGAGGGCCCATGCCAAATTTCATGGCAATCTGGCCAGTAACCAACATTGGCATCTAGTCTCACCATAGCAGGTCAAAAAGGTTATGATTTATATGTATTAAAGAACCTAACAGCTGCAGAGTTTCTCTCCTCCCCTTTGATTTCCAACGAGTAAACATTTAAACCAGTCATCTGCACTCAGTACACCTCACTTTGGGAACTTAATCCAGAACTTTCCCCTGTATGTTCCTTCCCTCTGAGGCAGGATAGTAACACACAGAATACCATAACAATTGTTCAACTCTGGGTATCTGGTTGTGTTTGTGCCTGCATGTGTGCACACATGCATGAGTGTGTGTGTGTGTGTGCATCTTTGTGTGTAGGTACCCAGTCTGTTCGGGGTCAGCCTCTCCCCTGGCCTGGCCCTGTCCTCCGGTGGTGCCCTCCGAGCCTGCAGCTCAGCCAGGTAGTGGCTCTCGGCTGCTCTGACCATCTGCTGCTGTCTCTCCCTCTGCCTCTCCTTCTGTCTGTCCAGCTCTCTCTCCCGCTCCTCCTCCCTCTCTCTCTCCCTCTCCCGCTCTCGTTCCAGCCCTGCCTCGCGCTCCCTTTCTTTCTCTCGTTCACGCTCTTGCTCTCTCTCTCGCTGGCGGAGCTCATTCTCCATCTGCAGCCTGTGGGGGAGGTTGACAAATATGCACACACACACACACACACACACACACACACACACACACACACACACATAGGGGGAGAAGGTGAGAGATGCAACACCCAACATGAGGCAGATATTAACCACACACTGGTGAACCTCACACAAACATTTTGTGCTCAAACACACACACACTCACACACTTGCAGAAACACACTCAAATATTCACACACACTCTCTCCACTTACCATGAGGAAAATAATCCATACACAGCATGACTGAGCAAGAGCAGATGAACACTTAATAGGCATCCACAGGAAAAGGACACACACGCACACACACAACAGAACACATTCAGCAGCAATCAATAGCACACAAACAAACCTACAGGATATGCAGGAGCCATTACAGAACCAGACGATAATACGTCTGGTTCCATTTCAAACACAAACATCTCCAGCGTGCATTATGCCACAGGAAAACAATGTGTATTGTGAAACTGAGAAAGGAGCTCAAACTGCTAAAAGAAAATGCAGAGAAAGAAAGAAAGAAAGAGGGAGTAAAAGAGATTTACTTATGTGTGCGATTCAATGTGTATACTGGCTTGCATATGTATGGTTGTGCAGTGTGTGTGAAGGGCAGCGTGTGTGATGAGTGTATAGGAGGCACTGTGGGGTGTGTGCTAAAAATATCACACGCTCAGCAACCTGTGCCTACCCTGCAGAGAGAGATTACACAGCAGAGAGAGAGAGAGAGAGAGAGAGAGAGAGAGAGAGAGAGAGAGAGTGTGCATGCACGCATGTGTGTGTGTTACCTCTCAGCCAGCGCCACTGTGTGGTTCAGCTCTCCTGGGTAGCGGCCTCCAGGCATGTGCAAGTGGAGGGCAGAGTGGTGAAGAGGAGAGAAGGCGCCCCCTGCAGGCACAGAGTAGAACTGCGACCGTAGCGCAGAGAGACACAAGGACTCCTCCATCCTGTGACGGACAAGGACAAACAAGTCAGACTGTATCGGCACATGCCAAGTGTGGAAAAGGTGAAAGATGTGATACCCGATATGTAAAGGTGACATTGCAGCAGTGAAGGTGAAAAGATGATGTATGTATGAAGGTATTTTAGGAGGTATTATAGGGTAATTCAGAGATATGAAAGAAAAATACAGCTAAGCATATTTTGATTGATTAATTAACAAAAAAAAAACATTTTAAACAAGCAACATCAGTTGTATTCTTTCACCTTCTATTGTAGTTTGTAGTTTTTACAATGGTGTGTCATTGTCAATTCCTCTGCACTTCACTTTGTCTTACACTGTGTATGAACTGTTTCCTCACATGTTTTGTATGATGTACTCTTATTGCTTGTTCCAGCACTTAATTTAAGCTATGATATACTCCTAATGAGAGAAATATTCAGTTTTTTTTATTTAGATTTTTTATGACTGCACCTTTCACTGAAAGGTCTTGTGTTGATTAGAATTTATTAGAATTTAGATAACACGAGTTTATGAGGTTACGCATTGAGAGTCTATTGTTACCTTGGTAAGGACATCGGGTGGTGCATGTAGGCCGGATGATAGTAAGCAGCAGCGGCTGCGGCGTGGGCGTGCGCTTGGTCCAAACTCATGGGTAGAGAGGTCAGCCGGAGATCATCTGAGGTGGCAAAGGGCCGGAGTGCTCTCAGGTACTCCTCTGGGATGGCGCCCGAGGGTACCACGGGGTGCATCTGCCCGGGCAAACTGCAGAACAAGTGCACACGGTGTTAATCTAAAACTGTTTCATGTGCTTTTAAATGGGTTCTGTATGAATACTTTTCGGGGGTTATAACAAAAAATATGGTCAAACTATGAGTGCATGTTGCACTTACCTGAGGCTCTGCATCCTGGGGTCCTGCATGACAGAGCTGGGGGTGAGGCCAAAGGGGTGGGCCAGGGGGTGAGGTGAGTGGGTAGGCGGAGTCCTCTTATCCTGTTGTGAGTGGGTGTTCTCAGCACACACCCGCTCCCTACTGAGTCCCTGGACACTCGGCTCGACCTGACAGGCAGACAGACAGCGTGAGAGCAGACATTACTACGTATATCCACGGGGTTTGAGTGTGTGCTAGATTGAAACTGAGTGGGGGAAAAAAAAGTTCAGGGAAAGAGGAGAGGGAAATGAGACAGAGTAACCCCCCCAAGCTGCACCCAGAGGCTCAGCAGAGCGGAAAAGTGGGTCTGATATGTCATAACAGGTCAAGATCAAAGTGGAAAGATGATCCTAATATCTGGCCAACTGCTCTCTCCTTCATCTCTCCCCCCCCCTCTCTCTCTCTAAAGAGCTTCCCACTCAGAGGATTTTGTCACCACAAAGTCCTTGATTGCTTATAGTACAATTCCAACCTTCAAATCACCACCATGATGAAAGCAGTCATGGGAAAGAAGCCTAAATTACAAAAAGATGTTTCCCAGAACTGCAAAATAAGTTTACAACAAATAGCTACACATGTGACTGTATTCTAGGCTTGGCTCTCTCCCAGGTTGCTTAATTTGTCATGTGTCATTATTTTACTCTCTCTTTCAATTTAAGAAGCAAACCGCCAAATTCCATGGTCTTGTTAAAGATGAAGTCTACAGCAGTGAGTGAGTAAGTGGTGGACCAACATACAGACATTACCATTGATAAAGACACACTGCTAGCATTGTGGGAAAAGTCTCACCTTCTCCACTATGAAGACGAAATAGCTCCCAGAAAACCTTTCACATGATAATAATAATAATAAAATATACATTTCCATGATAATGTATCATATCTTGTTGCTACAGCAACAGCCAGAGGTCAGACAAACCATAAACAAATTAGCTCTCCCAGCAATACCGGATCTGCTACCTTAGTTTTCTACAACACTTGCAGTGAAATATGTGTGCTTTGAATATGTTTGAATAGTTTTGAATGCGTCACTCATGGAAAGCAGATTCAAACCAGTGTTGGGCCGTCTCTCTCTCTCTCTCTCTCTCTCTCTCTCTCTCTCTCTCTCTCTCTCGGCAATCTCCACTGGGTTAAAATGAGAAGGGGGGACGACGACACGCGGAGGGTCTGGAGAGGAGCCATCACATTCCTTGACCTCTGACCCCGCAGACAGCCAACGGCCTTCACAGACGCAGCAGTAAACACACATAAACAGTCTGCTTCTTTAGCTTGAATCGTCCTGTTCCAGGACAAGCTGCATACAGTGAGGACAAATACTGAATCTATGCAAAGATTTAGAGCCCTCTCTCCTGCTCATTCTTACTCTCCCTCCCCTCCTTTCTTAACGTCCTATTCTCTATTTTCCTGCCTCTCTCCCTCTCTGAATGTCTGAATGGGAGCCCCAGGCAGGCAGAGCCACAGAGTGGTCTTTGTGAAGGGGGAGAAAGGCAGCTCTGATCCAGGGGGAAGTGGCTACTGTGGGGGCTAACCCCTGCATTGTGTGAGGGGCCTGGTTCCTCGCCCCACCTTAAATTCGTTCACACACCCACAAGCAAACACATCCATAGACGAACACACACACATACACTGGTCGCTCTTCACATCGTGAGCCTTTTGTGGTGAAGGGTCAAGTACACACACACACACACATATGCGCATGCATACACTCACACACACGCACAAACACTGCAGGAAGCTGAACACAATAGGTGCCAGTCTCTGCAGCCTTCAGTGTTTCTTTACAAACCCCTCATGTGTTGCTGAAAAAGACATGGACTGATTAGCGAGAGGAAGAAGGGGGTGAGGCAGAGGGGTGAAAGCATGAAAATGAAAGAATGAGACAAGACAGAGAAAAAGAGAGTGGGGGGGGGATAGAGAGACAGAAATGGAGGGATGGCTGGTTTTGACAGTTTGATGTTGACAAGCACTGGAACTATTTCTTTAATGGAGGGAGCAGCAGCAGGACGGATGAAGGAGACAGAAAGAGACAGACGACTCATCTGTGCTGAGAGAGAGCAGGAGAGAGAGAGAGAGAGAGAGAGAGAGCAAGAGAGAGAGCGAGAGAGAGAAAGACTGGAGAAAAGGAGAAACCAGCAAGACAAGGGCACAAAAAGCACAGATACACAGAGTGAGAGCAGCAGATGTCTTCTCTCAAACTTTTCTGGAACACCGGCGTGTACAACGGTTTGTTAAACGTCGCGTCTTACCTGTCTTCCGTCGGCCCTCCACAGGCCGTTGCTGGTCTTGGTGGGGGCAATAGTGACCACCGGAGGCGTGCTGGAGACACCGTGGCCCCTGGTCTGGCCCAGGAGGGGCCCTAATGAGCCCCGCTTAGGGGTGCTGACTGGCGAGCTGTGGCTGGTGGCCGGGGAAGAGACTGGAGACGACTCACCGCTGACGGCAGAACCTAAGGCGGGGAGAGACGGGGTTAATGATGGCAGGAATAAACTGCAGCTATCAGACGGCTGATCAGATTAAAAGGATTGCAGGATCAAACAATCCCCACCGTGACATAATACAGATGGTGCACTAAAAAGAAAAGCTAACTTTTTTGTCAGTTCGCTGGCCTATGACGAGGTAAACAGTGATTCAATCATTTTGATGAAAAGCATTCTGGCAAAAATGTGACAGAAATAAAGGAAAGTGTAAAAAGGTACGGAAGGTAGAAGAGATGAGAAAAATGGTCCAAGATGAAAAGGTGTGTGTGAGAATTATGTGTGTGTGTGTGTGCACGCTGGTGGGAGAAAAAAAAAACAGATATTTTGGAAGAACGAGGGAAGGATGTCACAAATGAAGTTGTTAAAAAGAGGCTGGGGTGTGACACAGCGAAGGGGGAGGTGTTAAATGTGATAAGGAGAGAGTACGTGTGTGTTTTTTGTAACATTCACGCTACTCTATTACTGTAACACTCACTAACCAGTAGACACAAACACATTCAGAGATGGAGAGAAGGTGGGAACGAATGAGTTAATGTAGAGCTAAAGGTAGAGAGAGAGAGCTACAGGGAGAGAGCAAGAGAAAACGAGATGATGATGGAGAGCGGGAGAGAGAGCTTGTTATAATTGGCTGTAATTAGATTCTCATTATTAGGAGATGAATGGAAGCGGATGAAGGAAGAGACAGAGAGGGAGAGGTCAGGATAGGTCAGCTCTTATTCAACACCTTCATTAGGACACCAATGAGCTGCGTGAGGACACACACACAGAAAACGCACACTCTAACGCACACATACCAGGCAGTTTCACAATAATCCACAAAACGCAACCTTGGTCTGTGAAATGATCTGTTTACACAAATATTGGCACTGTCTCGCGACGCAGTCTGCAATTTTCTGTCATTAGTTCAGATCATCTGTACGATAAATATGAAGCAACCGCCAAGAGACATTAGCTTAGCTTAGCATGAAGACTGGAAACAGGGGGAAACTGCTGGCCTGGCCAGCACTGACTAACAGTAAAAATGACAAATTGCAGTTGTACCCTTTTCTCCTTATGAATAGGAAATACGCATTTTCCCCAAAATGTTGAACTATTCCTTCATATGTAGCTCAGATGTATTATTTAATTTATTGACAGCTGCAGTAGAGGTGTTTCTTTTTGGGTGTGACCAACAAAGAAGAGTCTATACTGTACACGTGTGTGTGTGTGTGTGCTCACCTCTGGGATCCTCGGCCTGTTTGGCCAGTTTACGCAGCGCAGCAGCGAATCCGGAGTTTGCAGATTGGGCAACGGCGTTCCCATTGGTTAGTGGGCTGAGGGGACTGACAGTAGCGGTGGTGCGAGTTGCCGTGGAGATCATTCCTAATGATGCCGATTTATTGGACTCATGGTTCATACCTGAGGAGGAGAGCGGAAGGAAACATATGTGAGGAGCTTTGACATACGGACAAACGGCATCATGGCGTTTACTGTCTCTCAACAAAAACAATCCAGTAAGAAAAAGTCTGTGATTCTTTAGTCAGCTGAGGTATTCGATCACCTCCTCTTTCTAAAAGTAGACGATGAATCATGTTGTAAGAACATGCATCCGTTTATTTTGAACACAGTAGGTATCTCATTTATCTTGAATGAATGAAACTCATCCACAAGTGCTCAAAGAGAATGGGCAAGCGTGTGTGCGCCTTTGTGTCTGGACATCATAGTGAGCACATACGCGTGGGTCAGCTCCGTCAGAGACGGAGTGGAGAGGGAGTAGAGCTGTATCAAATAGAGCGGTGACCCTAATAGCACATGACACACATGAGTGCACACATGTCCATTTCCTCAAGGGAGCCAGCCAACACATCGTAAGACCTCGGGAGCGTCTATACGCAGACATTATTAAGTATCACTGCAGTTTTACACCCTCACAGATGCAAACATGGGAACGCACAAATAAACACACACACACACACACACACACACACACACACAGATATAACGAGCAAACCCATCGATCTACTCAATAGTGGACACACTTAGATCAGACGTGGTTAGCGTAACCTTTGTCTTCACCCTCTATCCTCTTACTGACCCACTAATGTTAATTACAGCTGGAATTAGCCGCCAGCCCCCCCGCCTGCCACAGCAATGACCTCATTACCAACACAACACACACACACACACAACCACCTTTCAAACATGCGTACACCCATGCCACAGGAACCGCACACAAACAGCCTAAGCAGTAAACACACTCATGAAAAATTCATGCATGCACATTGAGCACTATTATTGAATGTTGGGCTCATCACATGGATGATTTTGAAGAAGCAAAATGAAGAAAGGGCAGTCAGCTCTCAGAGTTTGTTGATTGAAAGTATCATAAATCTCACATTATCCACAGGTTAGATGTCTACATTCTACCTGCCGGCTTTCACACGTGTGAGCAAAGACAGGCAGAGGAAGCTGTGGAGCGATGAACGGAGCGAGAGGAGATATGAAGAGTGAATTGAGGAAAAACACAAGAGAGCAAGAGGAAATGACCAAAGCCCAATCTTTAAGTTAGTGAACACGCTGTGAGGATTGACAGAGGTTGCTGTATGAATACATGTAAACCATCAGAGAAACGTATCTGTACATTTCTGCTGCATGTTTCGAAAATGTAAAACCAACAATTAAGGGTAAATATGACCAAAGTGTTGCAAAAAGCTATTCCAGGTTTTATCACGCTGTCAGTTTAATGAGGTTGTTTCCAGCTGCCACAAAGCGACACAGACAGATAACTAATAACCTGTCAACATCCATCTAACTGCCCTGAATCACACATCTAATGAGTGTAATGTATACAATTAACATGCGTGCGGTTTCTGACATCTATGATGCGTTTATACATCAGAAAACAGGGCGCACAAGAGTTTCTTTTCTGTTTCCAGTACACTCATAATTTCTTTCCTTTGCTTTATTCACTATTTTCCTTTATTTCTTTGGCTACACTTGTGTATTTACATGTCATGCCGATAAAGCAAACTGAAACTGAAACAGACAGAAAGGGAAAGAATGATGAAGAGAGTAAAAGCTCAGATCCTGACAGCCGTGCGTGTGTGTGTGTGTGTGTGTGTGTGTGTGTGTGTGTGCGTGTGTGTCTATATCTCTGTCTCTGCTGAGCCCAGCAGTCAAGGGAGAGATGATAAGACAGTTTCTATCGACTCTCTCTCCTTCCTTCCTCTCTACTCACTATTTCCTTCCCCGTCTCTCTCTCTCTCTCTCTCTCTCTCTCTCTCTCTCTCTCATTTATCTGAGCAAACTGGAGCTTATTTAACAAAAGCCAATACACATAATCTCCTCTGTTTCTTGCTTTCTTTCTTCCCTTTTTCTACAATCTTTTGTCACAGGCCATTCCCCTGATATTTACACCGTGCCACTCACAAACACAAACATACTAACGTATGCATGTGAGCATAATTCAAACATGCAAACAGACACACTCACCCTCCCGCTTACTGTTCTCCTCCTGCTCGTCGTCTTTCTACTCCTCTGTGAGACTCTTTCTCTCTCTCCCTCTCAGCCTTGCAGCTGCTACGTGGTCACGTGACCTCTTTTCTATCCACTTCCCTCCTCCTTCTCTCTATCCACCGCCCCCCCCTCCTCCTCCTTCCCCTCCCTCTCCATCTATCACCCCTTCCACTCTACCTCCTCCTCTTCTCTTCTCTCGTCTCCGTCACTCCTTTTATCTTTCCATTTTCTCTGCTTAGCTGTCCCTTCTCTCTCTCAAACTGTGCTCACAGTCGTTTTCTTTTCTCTCTTCATTCTTCATCCCTCTTCCTTTTGGCTCGCACTCGCAGGAGGAAGGAGGGTGGTTGGGGGGGTTGGAGGGGGGAGTAGAAAGAGGAGGAGGAGGAGGAGGGTTTAGGGTGATGACGGGGAGGGTGGGTGTCTGGTTTGAGCTCTGTGTGTGTGTGTGTGTGTGTGTGGCGACGGGTAGTGTTAACCCTCCATCCATCACTCTGTCTCTCTGCTAGTCAGCTCTGTCTGCTTTGGGGACAGAGGTGAGGTGGGGGGAGGGGAGGTTTCTGACAGTGACCTGTGACCCTTCACCTCTGACCTCTGCTGCCAAGGACAGCAGGAGGTTAGAGGGTGAAACAGACAACAGCCCAAAATACAAATTAAGACATTTAACTCCCTTTAGGAAATTTTTTTTGAAGTGTTGACTGAATGAATAAACACAGCTAAAAGGTCATGCTAGCAGCCCCCACAAGGCTGTAATGCTCATTGCACACTAGAAAACTACCAACTACCACCTTACAAAAATATACACGTTTGGGCTGAGGACAGTGCCAGACGTGAAAGGACCATGCTGTCACCATAAACATAAAATGGTTTAGATTTTGATGGGTGCAGTAGCCATTACAGGACATCTCAGACCTGACATTATCAGACTTAATTTCTTCAGTTAAGCTGTTTCAGCTTAACTGTGGTTTGAGCTGAAAGCTAATGTTAGCATGCTTACAGTTAGCGTGTTACAAACAAGCTAACAAACTGACAGCACTACAAATATGCAAACATATTAATGTCGCTCACAAAATGAGAACATTTAGCACGTTACCATTAATCTCAGACAGGAGCTAGAGGTGTGTTCAGACTGAGGAGGACTGTATACAAAGTCAATGTAAAGACACGAGTGGAATGGAAAGATGTAAAGTCTCACAAGGTCAAGCCACTCGAGTTGAAAATGTTTCAGCAAACAAACTTACCAGAGTTCCTGGTAAGTTTTAAGATCCGTCTGAGCTGTCAAACAGACACACAGTCACACTACGCTCACAAAAGCTCAGGGTGTAAGATGCTAACAAACACGACAGCAGAAAAACATTTTAGGTTTTACATGAAATATGACGTTCTTCAGGCTTAGCTCCCCGTTGTCAGCCTCAGCTGTGCTTTGAGCTCAAAGTAGACAACATCATGCTACCATTTTACAGTTAGCATAACCTGCTAACTTTTAGCCTAATATGTGACATTTAACTTGTTGGCCTACTAATGCAAGCATGTTAACATGGATGTGGTAAGTTACAAACTGCAACATAAACACAATGATTCAGCATGTTTGCATTAGTCTCAAAGTACTGAGGCCATTAGCATATTATGTTATATATATTATGCATTTTGGTTTTAAGGTATCCTGTTTGATATTACATGTTGAACAAGTGTACATTTTTGACCTGCTGGTGGCACTAAATGAAAAGTCAGTACGACTCATCCTCTAGGAACCATTAATGTCTGCCTCAAAATTCCTTTTAATTCATAAAATGTTCTATATATATATATATATATATATATATATCTTACTATGGACCAATGTGACCGACTATCGACCAACTGACGCTCCCGTCAAAAAAGCCACCAACCTGCTAAAAACCGTAGCTAAAAATATCCCTGCGTACGCCACAAACTAATAAAAAAACAGCTTTGCCAAAATGGAAATCCGGGTGTGACTCCATTCATACACACACACACACACACACACACACACACACACACACACACAATCACACTCTGCTCTGCATGGTGTAAGTGATATAGGACATGTTGAGGCCGGTGTCTTTGACACCTTTTTTGTGTCTCCCGCTCTCTCTAACTCTCACTTTCTCTCAAACACACACAAACACAGACAAACACCGACTACACAGGGGGACTGTGAGGACAGCAGGGGGGGACCTGCTCTGCCCCATCACCTCATTAACAAAACACAATGTGTGTGTGTGTGTGTGTGTGTTTAAGGGGTGTGTCATAGGATAGAAGAGGTGGTTGAAACACACTACCTACTCATTAACCCTCACCACGTTGGCATGTCTGAGTGTGCGTGTGTTCTAGTGTCGGCTACTGTGTTAACACTTAGATATTAAATTGACTACCCTCATTTGTGTTTACGAACAGTTACCTAACATTAGACCAATAATGAGTGTGCACGCAAACACACACACACGATCTCTTAACCTAAAACATGCTCTATTTAAGTTTTATTATGTTATAATTTGGGCTCCTACAGCCGATACTAATCGCAACAACAGCTACTGTTGCTATTACAATAGCTGGCAGACTTTGTCAAATTCCTCTGACAAGCACACACACACACACTCAAAGAGGGAGAGAAAGAGGGGGAGAGGAGAAGTAGCCAAATGTTTTACGGCCTCTTAAACTTGTCTGTAATAGCAGTCAGAGTGGCGTCAACACAGCAGTCTCCAGGGTTACTCCAGGGGCTGCGAAATGGCTTTACTAGCTCCAGTCACTCTGCAGCTCGCACAGAAACACTTAACACTTCCCTACAATCCATAAACAACGAACACACTCTCCCACTCCGGCATCTCACACACTCACGAATACAGAAATAGGAACGTAAATTAACATAAACGTCAGAGGAATGACAGAAGACAGGACAACAAAAACACACCCATGTAAGCCGTCTGCGTAAACACATGCAAGGACGGGCACATACAGAATTAGCTGACTCAAGATTGCGCGTCACAAAACGTATGCATGTGAACCCTAGGGACCAAACAGCCAGCATGCATTTATGGTCCTGGGATAAATGGAGCAGAAAAACCACATACTGTAATAACCAACACCTCCAGCATTAAAAACAAACAGGAAGCAACATCCAAAGAGCAGAGAATTAGCAGCACACAGCAGGAAAAGAAACAATGGAGACAGTATGGGAAGCGTAGCAGTCATTATGCTGTTTTATATTAAACACTGTGTCCGCTGGAGCAGAGCCATGTTTACTGCGCAATCATAACAGAGTCGAGATGTTGGTGTAAGGTCTGTAAATTATCACCGCAACAGCTTAGAGCAGAAATGTGGGCTGTCAGCAAAGACGGGACGGCTGCATAGGAAAAACTCCTCCTGTGTTTTGTTCTCTCCTCCCTTGAACTCCCTTCACTCGCACCTCCTCCTGGCTGCAGGATACTTTTTGTCTTTCAGTGACCCCTTCTCCAATGTCTCTAATCAGTGTACTTGTCTACAAGCATCTTGTCACTGTCTGTCAGATACAGAAAGAAGATATAAATAGCAGCTGTTTTGGGACCCTTACACTTTTTCTCTATCTGTCCGCGTCATCTTTTCTTTGCCTTGTCATTTCCTCCTCACTATCTCTTTTTCAGTCTCACTCGACAGCCTCTCCCATCACTGCGTTTCTGTTTCTCTCCTCCGAGTCACTGATCTTTTCTGCAGCGCGTGGCTCAACCTCGCCTCTCTGATACAGAGATGATGCTAAAAGATAAAACAATCCGAGGCAAACCAGTCTTGCCTTTGTCTCAGTGTCTCTCAGCTCCTGGCTGGGTCTGACTCTTGCCCGCAGGTTGTGTGTGTGTGTGTGTGTGTGTGTGTGTGTGTGTGTGTGTGTTCAGCATTGGTGGTGTGTACAGAGGGTCGTGTCAGACAGTTGACAGCCACAGTTCCCCCTCTTCTGGCCCGCGGCCGGCTCTGCTCACCAGGTGCCGACACCACGGTGGCTAGACCTCAACCATCTGAACAAACACGAGGGGGAAACACACGCAGATGCACACTGGTTGCACAAAGGTGTGCAAAGACAAACAGACCAGCAGATGCACATAGACTGGCCCGCCAGGCAGGTGTTTGGTAAGTATAAAGTGCAGGGGTGTAATTGAGGTGTGTGCTGCAAAACAGCTATCGCCGTAGTAAACAATGATGTTAGTGTTGAGGAGCAATGTTCAAGGTGAGGTTTGGGTCAGCAAATCAGAGAGGAGCTGATATTGTCTGTCTCTGAGGAAATCATGTTTACAGATATTTCCTCATATATTACCACTGAATAGATTAGACAGGAGCAATGAGAATAGCAGTTGATTTATTCCTGTCATCACCTCCGTCCTCCGTGTCAGCGTGTATAGGCTACCAGACTACCAGACAGTCAGCTATCTGTAACTGTAACGAAACAATGTGCTTTGTGTTTCCATGTTGTGCTCGACCACCTCGTCGCTTCTTTTTTTTTTTTCTCAGAATGCGGAAAATGAAGACTATGCATTATTGATTCATTCTATACTGCAGTATATAAATTGTTACAGTATCCAAGATTACATTTTAGGACATCTCATTGAAAATATCACAACAAAATAGAAAAAAATCACCAGTCCATACCAGTATACCATCAAGGACAAAATAGGACTATTTAAGTAATACAATACTTGAGGGTGCAACTAAATAATTTTCATTGGCAACTATTTTTTAATGGAACAAAAAGGCCCTTGTGGGGACATTGTTTCCTAAACGATTCTTAAACATGTCAAAAATGAACTTTGAATCTCCAGAAGTCCTTAAAGTGCTCAGGGGGAAATTCCATGAAAACAGGCTGAGATAATGCGACATGAAGCTCCAGAACGAATACTAAAGGGCCCTCTGATAAGATCGTTTGCTGACTGCAAGGTCAAAAAAGTATTATCTTCTCGATAAACCGCTTAATCAAATACTCATTCATCACTGGTGTTTGCAATTATATAAAACTTGCAAAACCTAATAAGTGACCTTAGTATAATAGATTAACTAAATAGTTGCCTTTTAATTCCCTGTCAGTGGACTAAGAGCTTCGGCTCTACTGGTATTGAAACTACAGGAGATCAAAAGTAGGATTAGATCATTAGAAACAAACCACTCAGTAGCCTACCAGAAACACACCATCGAGGAATATGATTGTGATTCATGTTAATTAGCTTTTAACAATTAATTGACCAACAATAAATAGGTTTAATAATTTAAAGAAATAAAAACATCTGAAGCCATGGAGTGTATGATCTGAGTTTACAGTATCCATATAAGAAGGAGGTAGCTAATTAAAGAGATTGGAGGTTTACTCAGTAACCCCTGCTGAGCAGCTGGTCTACGGCAGGTCAGGAGCAGCACATGGCGTATAGAGCGCGTGCGCGCGTGTGTGTGTGTGAGTGTACGCGTGTGTGTGTGAGTGTACGTGTGTGTGTGTGTGTGTGTGTGTGTGTGTGTGTGTGTTGAACTCCACCTGCGGGCTGTGTACACACACAAAAGCGACGTGATCCGCTTGACTGCTGCTAATGCGCCCGGCGGCAGATCTATCTCAGCCAAACAATACAGTCGCTGTTAAAGGTCCCGGATTAAAGAGCGACTCCTAACTCCCATGGGTGCTGTGAGACAAACCATTACAAGGAGCCTGGGTGACACACCGTGGTGTTTCAGTTCTGTCTTCCTTGTCAGTTAAGTTTACCCGGAGCAAACAGGAGCGGTGTATAATCACCGACAAGTTGGACCAGAAAGATGACATAACAAGGGACCACAAACACCTTAACAAGCCTCACCTCCTGCGGCTGCGTCAAGACAGACGCAGGTAACGGATAAAAACAGGAAGTGATCGATTCTAATTTCAGAATAAGAGCACGGAACGTTCCCTACATCAATATAGCCTATACAATGTAGAAATACTAAAGAAACAAATTGCGTTTTATTGTGCTTGAATTATCATTTCAATACTAAATTTGGTCCCGTTAGGAATCATTGTGACAAACGCAAATAACGCTTTATTCTGAAAAACGTAACCAGAAGTTGTTTTCTCCGCCTGGCTTCACATTGTTCGTCAAACTGAACCAGTTTGTCCGATTCGACTGATTCAATCACATACTGCACACTTTGACTATTGTAGTCTACAGCCATTAATCTAAAAATAGCCTCGGACGTCAAACCGAAACTGCTGACATAACACAGAAACAACATATAAGATGATAAAATATTCAGAGATAAGAAAGATTAACACAGTCATAAGCCAGATAAAGTCACCTCTCAGCACTATCCAAGCAATAATTCAGTCATAATTAACTTTAAATGCAGATAGTCTGCGCATGGCTGAATGACCTTATTATTCACTACAACAAAGCAAACACTGGGACGTTTTGTAGCGTAGTGAACAACAGAAAACAGACAACTTACCGCCTCACCAAAGAAAAGACAGCCCCCGGTTTTTGTGCATCCTTAGATGGGTAAAACTACTGTGGCTCTGTGCAGCGATAAAGCCTGCTGTGTGACCACAACACGCACCGATGTGATGATGTGGGAAGGAGAAGGACAACACGTTAGCTGTCCTCAGAGAGAGAGAGAGAGAGAGAGAGAGAGAGAGAGAGAGAGAGAGAGAGAGGTGG